TTCTGATATGCTTTATTACCAGTAAAGCATATATTGCAGTAACATACCACAGACAGACCTGTGCTTATACACCCTGCACAAAGAGGAGGGAGAGGAGAAATCCTGAAACAAACATGGGAATAACCAGTTTTCCTACTAGAAAAATCCACAGATGTATAAACAGTTGTGAATGTTACAGTAATTCACACTGCGGATTATGTTACACTAATTGTGGCAATGGTTGCATTTAAATACATGAACTGAATCTGGTTTTAATTTCCTGTGTGCATTTTAGCATGACCCACTGGGAAGGTTAATAGTTCTTTTTGTTGCTGCTTTCCAGCATTGTCTAAAATGGTAAAAGATGCTTCAGTTCTCCAGTGGCAGGGCTTAATATAGTGTTGAATTCAGTAGGAACAAGATGAAAAGAGGATTTTTGGCCAAAACAAAATAAGGGAGGGGAAGTTAGTACAGAATAAACAACATGGACAGTTGGAAAGACTAAAAAACTCCTGTGGAGGATAATTGGGGGAAACTGATTAATGGCACACACACCACTGGAGCTGTGTGATGACAGAGGGCCCAGTGTGAGCTGTGAGGGCTTGTCTGGCTCACAGAGGGTGGAGCAGTGGGAGCCGTGGCTCTCCAGCAGCAAAAAAAGAGCTGTGAGGCACCGTCAAAGGCCATTTCCAGTCCTCGCAGCTGGTTAGAGCTCCAGCTGTCAGGCTGTTTAGTTCCACTTTCTCAAACAATGCTGATAGTGAGTATGGGCACAGGAGGTAGCTGGGGGCTGGGGAGTGCAGAGGCTTCTAATGCTTCTGATTGTCTCATTGAAGTGGACATCTCAAATTAGCAGAGAAGGTCAGATGCGCTCCATGGGTTGGATCACTCCCAGACATTCCCTAACTACACTCAAGAGTTCTTCTAGCAATGAGACAACTTTCTAAGGCAGAAACCTCCCCCTGTATATATTTGCCTATGGAGCCTTGCACAAATCCTAGGATAGGTCAAACCAGACGAGTTAGTAAAGTTGAGGTGAACATTTAGAAATTGAAATGAAATGTGTTTAGATTTACTGGGATTTTCCCACTGATTTCAGCAGCAGTTGGCTTGGTTCTTAAATTGCTTCTGTTAATTAGTTACTACTCAACTCCTACACAGATGCATTAGTCATGTCAAGCTTTATTATTGTCCATAATAGCACAGTTCATTCCAGCAGTCTCAAACATTAGGACATTTCCCTTTTTTACCATGAGAAGTTCCTTAAAAGTGACTGAAGTAATAATTTAAAATGTCCATTGAGAAGGATGTGCTTTAAAATGAAATAAATTGGGTGTCCACTGGATTATATGCAGTTGTGAACGTAGATGTGTTGAATTATTTTGCCTGTGCTGTTTCTAGCACACCTGGAACAGTGTGGCATCAGCACAACGCTGGAATATATGTGCACAGTCAGTGTGCAGGGAAAGAGGGACCTGGGGCTACCAGCCAACTCTCATGCCATCAGCAATGGCATCCTAATGCAGAAGCAGCCCTGAAACCTGTGGCTGCCCAGTATCCCCAGGGTCCTGCCTTTGGCCCAGAGGCAATCAGGGAAGCGGCCAAGCCTTCTGAAATAACATCTTTGCTGCTAACTCTTTCACAGGTCTTCCCTGAGCAGCACAGCTCAAAAGCATAACCACATCTTTTTTTTTTTCCTCTAAAGAAGCTTAACAAACATGTTTTCTTTCAAAAGAAAGACAGATTCAAACTATAAACCAAACATTTATCAGGATCCTCCAGTACAGTACTCCCCTGTCCTTGGAATGCCATTTTTACTGGGCCCCTCTTTGTTGGGTGCTGGCTCGAACTCTCCCCATCAGACTCTGTGGTGATTTGCCATTCATGGGTCTAAGTCCTTAGACTGGCTGCCATGTCAGTCCTTTCAGCTGAACCAAGAAGAACATGGGGAAGAAGCAACAACAGTGATAAAATATCTAGTGAGGAGAACACCAGGCAGTTCATCCATGTGTCACCCATATGACTTCCGCAGACTCATAGCTCACTGTCGTTCCTTCCAGGAGCAGATCCATCACATGTGGGTGGTAGATGCTCCATCTGCTCCTTCACAAGGGACCTGCTGCAAGTGGCTGCATGGTGTCAGCTGCCCCAGGTTGCTAACAGTCCTTGAAGAGCTCTGAAAGGCCATGCTTAAGGCCAAGCCTTTTTGCTGATCCTGTGTGCTTTTGAGCACAACTAGCTCAGGGTTAAGGTAGCTCCCCCTACAGCTACCTTGTTCCTGTTACTCCAATGTTGAGACACGTTTAGTTGAGCCTCACTGCAGAGCTGAACTGAGCAGGTCTTACCTGCTGTGCCTTGCTGCTTGTGGTAGCCTTTTGCGTGGGGCATCCAGAGCCTTGCACCAGTTTCCTGCTTGGACAGTAACCAAACCCCATTCCCCACGGATGGATAATCGATGAGGTGACGCTGTGGCAGCATTTCCACCCAGTGACATTTGCCCTGAAGGGTTAGCAAGTAAATAAAACATAGACCCATGTTTATGGCTGTTGTCCTGTCTCTTTCCAAATGTTTTCCTTTCTAGTCTAAACAAACAAACTCTCTCTACTTGGAAGCTCATATCTCAAGGGTCTTGTTTTTGCTGCTGTGCTCTGCAATCTCTCCAACTTGTTTACATCTGTATTTAAGTGAAGGGATCAACAGCTGACAACTGCTGTCTACTTTACCAGCACTGACAGCCATATATATATTTACTGTGTTTTACATAAACACTTCTACCGATATAATGCAAAATGGCTTTTTTAAAAATGGCTTTCTTTTAAAATTGCTTTACACTGTTGATTCTCTTCCTATAGTTTTGCTGCCTAGCCAGATATTTACCCACATTGTGCACTGGTACCTTGCTCTTTGACAGTGTCTTCTCCTTGAGTGTATTTGCTATGTTATTTAATTTCTACCCATGTCTCTAAATTGTCAAGTTCATGCAAAGCCTAATTTGGTCCTTCAAAATACTTGTGCTACACTTCTTTCCTCTTACTAAGTAATGTTATCACCTGTGGATGAAGCAAACTCAAGAGAAGAAGATTCAGGCAAAATTATGAGAACTTCAGGTTTTGGTTGTTCCAGAAACTCCACCAGGTGAGAGCTTCATCGTCCTGTATTTTTACTTCATTTCTCCTATGTTCTCCTCATTCGTTAGTGAGCTGATAGGAGAAATAAGAAAGACTGTCAGGCATAATAAAAGCATCACGTTTCATAGTTATGCCTGCCAAAGTTTTATACCAGGAGATAAGCTTATTAGTACATTTTATAGCACTGTCACTGTTTTATTGCCATTGATTATGTACTGTATCAGCCTTGCTATTTTAACAACTATTAAATGTCATGTATGTCAATGTAAAATAGTACATACATTGAGCGTGCTGTATGTGCATGCTACCTTGTGTGCTGTAGGAATGGAAAAAATGCCAGGAAGAACTTCTTGGAATCTGGAAAGGGCAAATGACAACATCACTTGGGAATCTGCCAGCAGGCATGATTTTGTTGAGAAGAGCCTGTGCACAGTTTGTAGTGAGTTCTGATGAAATACCTTGGGGAATTCTTCAGTAGTCATGTTTACATACGTTACTTAAAGGAAATAAATACAATTGTGAAAAGCAGCTTCTCTGATTATGCTGCTCTTACCTGGAAAGAGAAGTCAGATTAAGTGCCTCATATCTAAAGTCTTTACAGTAAATTAATTCCCTAGCAACATGCTAGCTGCACACACATTTTAGATTGAAATATCACCCATCTATTGAAATATTAGGGCAAATAAAAGTATCTTTAAAAACAGGAGTATTTATATCTTGCATTTTTGTTTGTTCAGTGGGCGAAACTTTTATTACAATATTTTAACATCTCTTACCCAAACATTAAGCTATTATATTCTTTAAAAACCTCCTTTTTTTTTTCTTCCTGCTCTTTCTCTGAATGGATCCTTTATCTTGCTTCCAGAATTGAAAGCACACACACTATTCTCCAGAATGGTACAGGGAGTTTCCAGCCGCAGGAGGCTGGGTTGTTGCAGTAAATTTCCAGGTCTGTCGAAGGTCTGTTGCATAATTTTGACCAAGTCAAGGTTTTGCCTAGTTGTTCACTGAATGACCTCCTTTTCCCCAGCACTGCTCAGGTATCTTTGATCAAAAACCTCTTAAAAATTAAACACATTTTAGGTGGCCAAGCATGGATGTGTAACAAACACCATTCTGCTTCAGACCAGTATGGTGCCAGAAGCAGATGTGCTTGCTGTTTAGACTGGAGAAAAGGAGGCTGAGGAGACCTTATCACTCCCTACAACTACCTGAAAGGAGGTTGTAGCAAGGTGGGTGTTGGTCTCTTTTTCCAAGTAACAAGTGATAGAACAAGAGAATATTACTTCAAGTTGTACCAGGGGAGGTTTAGATTGGCTATTAGGAAAATTTTTTTCACTGGAAGAGTTGTCAAGCACTGGAACAGGCTGCTCAGGGAAGTGACTGAGTCACCAACCCTGGAGGTATTTAAAAGACGTGCAGAGGTGACACTGAGGAACATGGTTTCGTGGGACTTGGCAGTGTTAGGTTTATGGTTGGACTTGATGGTCTTAAAGGTCTTTTCCAACTGAAATTATTCCATGATACTAAGAATTAGCAACTTTCTCTGTTTTGAACCAGGTTCCTTATGTGCTGCACTGTAGTCCTCAGAGCTTGGAAACGCTGATTCGCACATTGCATATTGGGTTTTCAGATAAAGACGAGTGTGTATTGGTCTGTGTTCCTGTTTCATTCCCTGCACCAGGACCCATTCCAATGATCATGTTATGCCCACAGATGGGACTGGGAAGATCTCCTTGCTTGTGTTATTTGCAAAGTGCTGTTAAGTGTGATGTACTAAATATTAAAAAATACCGTGGATGTTTGCATTAGAATCTAGGTATTTAGTAATGGAATTTGGTTTATGATTTCATGTAAAGCCCACGTGGCTTGAAAAGTCTAACATCAGAATTGTTTGTTGACATTATTTTTATTGAAGCATGGATCTTTACCTTGGTTCACCATAAAGTGAAGCATTTTATTTATGATAATAGACAGTTTAGGGCTATAGGGGCATTATAACGTTGCTGGTGTAGATACAACTTTATCAGAAGATACAAACATGACCCGCAATAGAAACACCAAAGAGAACACAATGAAACGTTCACTGTTTACAAATCACTTCATTACTACAGACACCAAATGGCAGTTACTGTAAGTAAATCAGTTGCAGAGAACTGACTACATTTAGACAGGGAATTGGGAACTTCTGTTTGGGGCTTCATCCACAACTCCTTAGTAGAAAAAAGTTTAATGTCAAGCATTCTTTTTTACCCACAAAACAATGCTAACCAACAGACATATCAAAGAATAAGACCAAAGGATATCAACGCCTTTACAACTACTTTTGCAATTATCTTCTTGATTAGGTACTTTGATTTTTTTTTAATACATTTTGTCAGAAGGTAAATAGCCCAAAAATCAGCAGCAAAAATATTACAACAACAAAACAAGTAAATACAGTGCCAATGTGTCATGTTGTAGAAGAGAATACAAAGAGGACAAACAATGATAACTTAATAATATAAAATGACACAAAGCTGAAATACAGTGCACTTAAATACCTATGTGACAAAGAATGTTAAATTCTGTACTTAGTATGTAGGTTTTTTTAAACAGAAAATCTGAAAAGTCTTTGTGCTTAAACTTTTTTTCCTGTTAAACAGAATTAGTCGCTTACTTCCAATACTGCCACTGTAACTGATATTACAACAGATCACAATTTTCACAGACACATCAACATTAAAACATTTACCTATGAGAAAATAAGTCACTTCTCATTAGTTCACAGTGCGAAAAAGTGGTGTACACTCTGTCTTGAGAAAGGCTTTCAGTTATTCATCAAGCCAGTTGCAGAAAAGTCCTGATACCAGACGCAGTGCTAGATTTAAAGAATGGAAAGCAACACATCACATGTTGGGAGGAAAAAAGATAAATTTCTCGTTTCTTCATGGATATCGTCTAAGTGACCTTCGTCTTCTGTTGTAGAAATGCCTGAGCCCATGTTGCCGTGAAAAATTCATCATGTAATTTTGTTTGCGAGTGCTGTTAAAATCAAAGAGAGTGGGGAGGAAGAGAAGTGTCAGTTTTTTATCTGTAGTTTAAACTCTTTTGGAGCAGTGAGCTCGTGGGGCAGATTCTTCTCTTTCCTTGCATGACCTTTCAACCCTGTGTGAAGCGGTGAGTATTGCACCCTTTGTACAACAGCAAGGTACAAGGCAATGAAGAATCTGTCCCACTTCGCTTTTATGTACAATTCATTATCTTAAGAAAGATTAGGAGCTTCCAGCTAATGGAAACCTCTGCTGCCTAGGGCCAGATTCACTAAAGCTGTATGCACTTCTACCCTTTCAATATAGGGCATTTCTCCACAGTGTTTTTATAGTCCAGTCACCTTTCTGTCTCAGATCATTAACTGCTCTGTCTTGAGAACAGAAGAAAACCTTTACTCCACTTCGTTATCTTCCACTTTCATTATATAGGTAATGAAGTACAACAATTTTATGCAGACTTAACATTTCCCTCTTACACCCCTCATCCAAAATTAAAGGAAGACCTAGGAAATAACCATCATCACAGGAGACCAGGCAAGAGACAGCTTGACTGTAGCCTAATTGAAGGAGGGACTCTTGTTTGGAAGACCTACCTGAAGGACAAAACCCATCTCACATAGCATAGATTTCTTCTTCTCCCATTGAAGGAAGAAAGAACCATGAGAGGGCAGCAGTGGACAAGACGTCTGTGAGGGATTTTGGTACCTGAAACCCACCCGACTCCTAAGGGCCAGATCCCACCTTTGGTTTCCTGATTTCAGCAGCTTTGGAAATGGAGCTGTAACATCTGGTGCTTCCCTGTGAGTCTACTCATGGCACAGAATTGCATGTGCAGCACCACACATCCTCTGCATCCTACTGCCTGTGCTGTGGCAAAGGACTGCAGTGCAGCCAGAGCACGTGTCTGGCTGTGCCTTTTCTTGGTCCCTTTACATACATATCCATTTGAATTACAGGGGAAATAAAAAGTTTGTGTATTCTGAAGTTCTGATACAGGATGTCTCCTTTCAGACCTACAACCTGTCTGAGCATGAGGCCAGACCCCAAGGACAATGCCAACAGGTGTAAAGAGCTTCACTCAGGAGGAACTGTGGGTGACTGCGTGACCAAATTTCCTTTTTCATTTGTGGGTGCAAGGCAGATTTTCACGTGTGAGTTTTCTCTGTCACTAAGAAGTAAATACTCATACTGTAATCAATCATACTTTTCTCTCTAGTGCATAAGCTTATTTTTAGTGAATGTGGCCCTTAGGAAAAATAAATAATTGCATGCTTTCCAAAATAAGTATGATACTCTAGAGGCAAAGATAGCTTTTGCTGTAGTATGATAGCTTCATCTAAAAAAATCCACATAACAAAATTACATCCCTTTCAACAGCTGTTCTAGAACATGATTGACTAAACTGAATAAAAGCAGTTGTGTCAAAATCAAGGATATAAGCCCCTAAGCAATTCCAAGTTGCTTCCCAACTAGTTTTCCAAGGCTCTGCAAATTTCTTAGAGCAACTTTACAGAAGAATGAAATTTTCTTCTTTTTTTTTTTGCCAATGGAATGTACATAGGAGAATGAAACAAAATCCAGCTGCTGGTGACAATGAATGCAAACAGATCTAGAGTCAGCGCAACTTCTGGCGCTCTCACAGCAAGGCAGTGCTCTAGAGCATTTGGCAATTAGGGGAGAGGTTGATATTGAGGTTGACTTGTCCTGATTTCTTCAAGTGAAAAGGTCTGTGCTAATCTGTAAGAGTTTTATGTGAGAGAGTGACAGCAATGAGTCTGTATAGTTTTAATGCCACTTGGTAGCTTGACTGCAAAGAAGCATTGAAGATCAGTCTTTATTGTGGTCCCATACTCATATTCCACCTCTCTGCTGGGAGAAGGCTGCTCTACAGCTAAAATACAGGAAACTGGGGCCTGGGAGAAAGCACAGCCCAACCTTGAGTGGCCTCACTCTAGGTACATGGGACCACATGGAGACTCTCAATGTGTTTGACTGAAAAGTTTGCTGTTTCTGGGTCTGATTAAATTTAGGACTGAGCTCAGCTGTGAGATCCTCAGCTCAGGCATGACTTGGGCAGGCAGGGCACTGGCTGAGCTGCAGTCCTTGGCCCAGGGGCCTTCCCATTGCCCTGTCTCCCTGCTGCCTTTGGTCTGTTCGCATTCAGCAACAGCTCAGCAGAGATTTTCAGGACCTGTTTTGGACACTGCTAGGTGCATCTGACTTCTGTTTCACTTCAAATGCCTAAACATTTTGTATCTGGCCTTAAAGTTATGATAAAGATGTTTAAAGCAATGAACAAAAAAAATAAACAATGAAAATAAAATAAGGAAAATCCAGCATTGGAAAAAGGAACAAAGAAGGGGCTACCTAATAACTTAAAAGAGATTTAGTTATTTTTTAATGTATATTCAGTTTTGTTATTTTATAAGTGTTCTGGTTTACTGGGGCAGAATTTTAAAGCCAGTTTTCTGTTGAGGAAACTGCAATTTCGTAAGGACTACAGCACCATTTAATGGGAATCAAATTCAAAAAACTTCATTACAGGTTTCAGCTAATATTGGTCTGCAGGTTGTCATAGGGGTTAAGGTCTTCAGCAGTCTTGAGATAGAGAGATGCAGAGGCTGGGGGGAATGGAAACCCAAGGGAGTCGACCCCAAGGTGATGATACTCATCATACCATAAATGTCACATTCACTGTAAGCTGGGGAGGTTGCTGAGGGTGGTCCCCCTCTTGCTCTTCCTCCCATCTGCTCCTTCTTCTCTCTTTCGTGGCTGACATCTCGAGAGGGACAGGTTTACTATCCTAACCCTGAGGCCTACTCCCCCATAATATTGGCTGAGTATAACTCTGTACTTTATATTATATTGTTATTAATATTAGTTTTCATTATTGTTATTGTATTAAATATATTTATATTTCAACCCACAAATCTCCTTTCCTTTTTCTGTCCCCCCTCCCTGGGTGGGGAGGAGGCATCAGGTGATAGAGCAACTGTGTAAACCATGACAATAAGATGATTAAGATGTTTCAAAGAAAACACATATACTCCCTGTCTTACACTGAGTGCCACAGCAGTGCATTTTGTGAAAAACAAGAGAAATCTAAATTCCTAATAACTGTTGTTTTTTTTTTCTTCATTGCCACGGTTCAAACTTGTTCTCCACTAAAGTCTGAGATGGACTTTCCAGATACTGGCTGGATGCCACACAGAATCTTCATGCCTGCTCTAGAAAATGGCATGATTTTAACTCTTGCTATGGGTCAATAGGTATACCCTATATATTATAGTATTGTATTGTATCATATTGTGTAGTATGCATAGTCTGGTATACACAAGATGAGAATAGGTCCTTATTTATTTTTCTTAATTAATTTTATATATTGGTAGGAGGCAAGCACTGTATAAGAGAGATCAATAGTGCTTAATAAGATCACAATAAGAATTATAAAGTTTTATGGGACCAAAAGGAGTGCTTACACATTTCTTGCATTTGGTGGATTTAAGAATGCTTTCAATACTATTAATAACAATTTTAACTACTGCATAATCTGTTTGACAGTTTTAAGTGCACTAATATTAAAAAAAATATATAGGAGATAATACTACTCCAATTTACATCGGAAACTCTAAGTAACTTTCCAGTGAAGTCACTGGAGTTATACTAGTTAGATGAAAACATATGCAGCCAATATAAAAGATTAAAATTCTGTCTAGGGTATGTTAAGTAAATATCTACAGTAAAGCAATTTATGAGAAGGAGTTGCTCTGCATCTTTAGTCTTTAATAGAGCATTCTGGCTATTGCATGCTTCCTAAAGCACATTTTGAACTTCAAGTCTGCAATTTAAAATTTATGAAAACAGAACATAGGCAAATGGAATGAAAAATATGTGGTAAAACATTGCGGTATATACTAATGACTTTCATTATTTTTGCCATTTTATTTTTACTTGACAGGGCAGAATAGGAACCAAATAGAAGCAAAAATATTTGGATAACAAAACATGAACAAAGCCTTAGAAAACAGCAAAGGCATGCCTCTCAGGACACGGCTTGGGGTAAATTTTGTGGCTGAATTAGAAATGCTTTGTTAGGAGGTTACTATAATGAGAAAAGTGATGTACTCTGACAGAAGTCCTGACAGCTCATATCAATGACAAGTGTTCTTTGGCTCCAGCGAGCTCAAGATTTGAACCCAGAGCTCAGTAACTGTTGGTTTGTGGTATCTGTTAACTGAGACATCACAAAGCAGCGGAGTTGCAGGAAGCAAAAGAACTACCTGGCAAACACTTGCTGTATGTCTGAGGCACATGTGACTGCCACCATACAGATTGACTGACATACACTGCCTGGCTGTGCCTTCAGCTCTGTAGACATTAATTATGGAAAAAAGTGGAAATTCCCCCCTTGCAGCTGAGAGGTTGCCCATGCAAGGCGCTGGGTGCCCTCCGTTGGCAGGTCTCTCACTGCACCGCAGGAGAAGGAGAAGCCCCTTTCACTGCAGCCTCAGTGAAATTCCCGCTGTGATAGGGGGTGAGCTGCTGAGCACCTCCTGCTCAGTGTAACTTCCCCTGATGCTCCCCATGGAATCAGGGCCCTCAGGAGCAAAGTGGTCTCAGAGAGTACAAGTGATTTTCCAGCAACCCATTATTGACAAAACTTTGGGAAAGAACCATAGCTGTAACAGCAACATGTATTGATATTGATTAAAAGAAAGTGCTTACCTTATTCTAGTGTAAAACCAATGACAGCAAACAATGAAATACAACACAAGTTAGAAAATGCCTTTCAATGCATGCAGCATTGTGATTAGTCATAAAACCCTGATGAGGTTTAGAGGCAATATAGGACTTTTCGTCTCTTTTGAAAATAAAAATTGAACAAATTATTTCCTGACATTTCAAATCAATATTTATATTTTTATTTTCTATAAATTCAGCATGCACTTTTAGAAAAATAATAAAATGACATAAAAACACAAACTGTGTCATATTAAATTTGGCATAAATGTTGTGAATATTCAGATAATTACCTAATGTTTCAACGGTTTCTGTTCTTTATTATAAATATGTTGATACTTGAATTTAAGTGCATTTTTCAAATCATTGCTTTTTACTAAAGAAATGAAGCAGATGAAAATGCTTTTCCACATGAGCACTTTCTGCTAGAGGTACAAGATATAATTTGTATTTTAATCTTGCAAAATAAGGATAAACATTCTTTGCACCAAATGCAACGTAAGTTCTCACTAAATCATTTGTGCCAAAAATGTGAGAATATCTTGACAATGAAGAGCGTGGAGTGATGGCTATGGAGGGATTCATTCTGTTACCCAACAGTTAACCATAAAATAGTAGGTGGGGATAATATTTCTTGCATTCCTCGCACAACTCAAATTCCCTTGGATCTCATCACAAGTTTTGGGGTGCAAAGAAAGCAACATCAGACCCTTAGTGTTCACCTTATCATTGCCCTTTAGTTCTCAATGGAGAGAACTTTGACCAGAATTGAGTTTATAAGAGGTTGATAAGGGCCTGCCCTATACACAAAGAAATGGCAGTTCCAAATGCACATGCAAAAAAGTGTGTGGTGTCTGTGCAGCAGACAAGCTGAGAGCTGTGCTTCGAGAAAAAACAATGTGCAAATGAAACGCTGGGTTGGACATGGGCTCTTCTTAGGGCAGAAGTACAGGGACACTGAAAAGCACTTTCTTATGTCTAGGGTAAAATACTTTTTTATCCTAAGAAGAGCCACATGGAACATGTGAGACTTGTGCCCTAAGCATTCTTTACGAACAGAGAGAAAAAATGCTGCACTAACAAGGATTAATCGGCACTAGCTTTAAAAGGAACTGGGCAACTTGACAACTAATATCCTCTCCTCACCACAGGATAGATATCAACTGTTGTTAAAATAAATTGGTAAGACCAATTTTATGTGTAACCTATTCAAAAGAGGTATTGCATTTCACCTATTCAGAAGAGGTGCTCAATTTGAGCACCATTTGCAGGTGCACTGTAGCCTTGGTGATACTGCTTTTTAATGAGCGATTCAAATAATTCATTCACAAGTGGAATGATCCTGAGTAATGCACAAAAGCACCTGACTTTGGCCTTTCTTATTACTGTCAGGTATTTTGCATGCACGTATAATCTGCAGGTAATTTTTTCCCCCAGCAAACTATCTTGGGAGCAAAAAGGAAACAAAGAAGTTTCCTCCTGAGAATGTGCTTACTGGTAAGAGGATGGTGGCCCTTGACTCAGAAATCAATTAGACTGAACAGAGTGGTGTGACCCTGGCTGTACATCAGCTGTAAGTGGTAGCTTACTTGGCGGCTGGGCCTATGACAGAATTAATTTCAGATCTTTGGATTTCTGAGAAGAGTTGAGCCATGAAAGCAGGTATTCACAGATTTGTCCCTGGGGTGAGCACTGTAAGGAGGAGCAGGGACATCCTCCATGTTGGATGGAAAATAAAATCAAGAAAACCTTTGGTTGTGCTACCTCACTACAGATGATCTCTCCCTGCTGGCAGATGCTCTCTAACAGGAGATAAAGAAGAGAAAGGAGACGGCACTGTCTGGGCATCTGGCTCCTTCTCTAGGCAAGGTGTGATTAATTGGTATAGCTTTTCTATTGCTGTTTCCATTCGAATATAACATATCTCATATGACTGACATTTCACCACTCAACGTGTGTGTCTAGTCTACAGCCTAGTAGATCTCAGTGTCAAGGAAGTTCTCCAGAATTCAGCCTAAGAATCACTTTTTAAAGATCTATCCTATTCCTACTTACACTAATTCAAAGCTCTATTTTTCCCCCCACCTGCTTTTTCTTTCTAATTTTTTTTAATTGCAAGGCAGAGAGACAGGGGAATATTTCAGAACTACCAGTTCCTTTTTCCATGTTTTCCTAAACACTATGAACTTCCTGCAGGTTCATGTTCTGTCGTATCTTTCCTGATGCAGCATCATACAGCCATTGATTAACTAAGCCAGGAATCACATCCGTCCCTCTGTTTCTTCAAGCTTTAAGCTTAATGTTATGGAAGCAGAGCCCAGCAAGGTGTATAAAAGCAGCAGAGCGTGTACAGTTACTCAGTGTTGGGACCAATTTGGTTTGGGGTTGATATGAGTGCCATGCAAGCTGGTGCTTCTCAGTGGAAAGAAGAACAGGGCTAACTAGCAATCAGATAATTCACTTTACTACTGTTACAAAACATAATTTGCAGTGTCTCTGCTAATTCAGAAACCTCACAGTTATAATTACACAGTCTGGAGGTTATCCATGCCTAATTTCTTCATTGCTAGTTTTTAAATTTTTCAATAAAAGGAATGTTTGAACCTATCTATGGAGCAGGCACGCCTCTCTCTGTCAACCACTGTCAGCGATGAGTTCCCGCCCGTGAAGCCACTACCATTTCACTTCTACTGGAACTAAATTGTTAGAGAAAGAGCAGGTCATCTCTTCATGACGTAACACAGGAAAGATGGGTTAGCTGCCAGCGAAACCCATCTCAAGAATGGGAGTATCTGGAGGGTGCAGGCACTTTACTTGGTAAAATCTTGACAAGGGGATGAATATAGAGCTCGGACCATAGGAACCTGATATAGTGAACCCTGTTTCTGAACAGTATCCTTCTTACTAAAAAAAGGAAATGAATAAGGCATTAGTTGCTAACACAAATTTTTCAGAGGCACAACAACATAACTTTGTGCAAAGAGCAGTACAGCAGACTCTTTTATATCTTCAAAAGGATATAAATCAGCCTTAGATGGCAGCACAGCATTGAACTGGAATATCCTTTCTTATGTCCCAGCACAATATTTCTTTCATAGTCATTGCTGCATTACAGGACTACCACCAATACTTGGTGGTGATAAAGCCCCACTTTCCCTCCTGCATTTTTCCATGATGCACAACACATACCCCTGCTGTGCCACTTACTTCATGGCCATCCTGACTGCTGACAGTTGCAGTCAGGGCAGAGCATTAACAAAGACTGGTTCTCAAAAGTTTTCCTGGGCCACAACGATTCTTACTGAGCTTAACACTTATGCCATGCTGGAGCAATTTCAGTGCTTTCTGAGATGGGGTGAGATGAGGTGAAGCTGATACTCACAGGACGACTTCTACGTGGTCCAAAGCCCACTGATCATGACCTGTTCCGTTGTGGCGGGGCTGCCACCAGCGCAGTAAGACTCCTTTCATTCGTGCCTCCCTGTTGGCACAAATGGAAAAGCCTATGAGATCTCCAGACTATTGGTGGTCTGCACATCCCTATCTACCTCCCAACAGGAACTGAGAGAAAAATCAAAGTGTTATTTCTAAATCCCGGAACATCAGCACACCTTATGTGCAAAACATTTAATGGTGAAAAATGCACACAGATAAAGAGGAATTATTTTTTCCCCTCAAATCTTTAAAACAAATATTCTGTTTTTCTGTCAAATATACTGTTAAACACTAGGCTTAAATTTCTTAATCAGCCTTCCACTTAAGTTTTCTTCTTTGTCTACCCTCTCATCAACCTTTTTTTTCCTGCACAGTGATTCAAAGAGAATCTTTCCTAGCAGACATATATCTTCTGCACTTAGAAGTAATGAAATGTGACTGGGTACTCACAGGGGAACATTATAAGACACTCTTTGGGCTTGTATAAAGTCCTTTGGCTGATGCTGTGCAATTACTTGCCATGTAATTCCATTATTTACACTGTATTGGAGGAGCACTGCCTTGTCTACAGTGTTAGGATCACTCAGATTGGTATTGCAGCTGTCTGTTTGTGAAATACTTCCAATTTGCAAAACAAACATGATTTTGCTGTAAAACACAGAGAGAAAAGGCATTTTCAATATGCAAAAAGTGTTCAAGCAGGAACAATAGCATTTCCAGGTTTATTGCAGTTACCTTATTAAAACTTTCAGCATCCTCAAGAATCATTACTTTTAACATGCAAAATAAACTGTTCTTACATCTCTAAAACACAGCTTCCCTTTCAAAGTAATATGTATAACTTACTGCCATATAGTTGGAGGCAACAGATCCAATTTTACAATGACTCTGCACAAAACAGATACATAAACTATAAACATGCAAATAAGTGTACGAAAAGCTAAAAAAGGGCAAATAAAGGTTGACTATAATAAAGTGCCTAAAAGATTTCTCATATTCTACCTGGGTGTCCAAATAAGAAAGGAAGAGTCTGATTTATATGAGGCCCATTTGCTAGTTCATCCTGTTTCTAATCTTGCTTTAGACAACTACATACAAACAGTCCAGAAAGCTGTCACTCTGTAAAGAGCCAGCACAGGCTGGTTTCATTTGTTTTGTTCATTTGTGACCAAAGAGGCTCAACAGATGAAAAAGATACTCCTGTTCATTGCCAGGTGAATATAATTCTGTTTGACAACTGAAACAGGAAAATGAGTCCATAATTGTTAATAGCATCTTTAGTCATGACTGTCATGGAGGCCCATACAAACATGGGATTTGTCTTATCAGATCAGGCTCTGGTCCAGACAGTCTGGTGTCCAGTCTTTGCCAACAGCTTCCTTGCCAGTGCTGGCTTACTAGACAGTGCTCTGCTGGGCACAACAAAAACATCTGACCTTTTCATCTGACATCACTTCATCCTCACTCTCCATCTCCCAAATGGAAGTCACAAAGCATTTTGCCAACCCTAATGTTTATCTGCCAGCCGCATCTGACTGTATGGTAGAGCCAGGCCAGTCCATCCTCATCAATACTGGCCCACATGACTCTGTGTACGTATGAAGAGTTTCCTTTCTCATGAGCTCCTAAAGGAGCATTTTAGGCTCAACATATTACCTTGCTCGGGTGAGATCCAGAGGCTTAGTCACAGCTTGTCTTATTTGACATCCATTAAAATAGAGTGAATCTCCATGGGCGTAGGGTGCCAGCTGTCCACATCCATTCCCTATTACTCCCCCCTGAATGGTTTCCCAGTTTATTTCAGTGACTCTTTCAGATTCAAAATTATCTTTAATATAACTGGGGAGGTCATGGCTAAAAACAGAGCAGTCATCACCTAAAAATGACACAGCGAAGTTATAAAACACACGAAAATCAAAGGAGTTGAAAAAATTGAGTTATAGTTCATTGTAATTCTATTCAAGGTTGTGGCACAATACACAATGTGACTACAGGCTGAATATAATACAGCAGATCCATTAATATGCACATTGCTATACAGCATTCATTTTTAGAAAATTGATGCTGCGAGTCTGTTATTTTTTACAGCAGTATAAATTTGAGAACTGCAACAGGGCTTCTCCTATTCTTCTCTTACTCGCAGCTCTGTCAAATTATTAATTTAGAATTTGTTGCTCAAGTGTTCCAGCAATGAATTTAGATACGGTACATCACTCTGACATTTTGTTTAATTTTGAGCTAGATTAGACTGTAGCAGATGTGTAAGAGAGAAGTTGAAGAAATGAAACCTTGGTATCCTTCATCACAAATGCAAATGGCTCCAGTCGTGCAGTATCCATGACCACTGCAGAGCTTAGGGCATGATTCCCCAATGTACACGTGGTCGATTGCCCAGCTTTGCTTCTCTAGTTCTTCTCCCTTCTGAATCCACCTGAACTGAGTTGCACTGTAAATCAAAATCCAAACGCTGTATTGTGATATCTAGCAATTAAACACATCAGTACAGTGACATTCAAATCTGCCAGCAACAGATGTAATGAAAAATGCTGTATGAAGAAGCTGTGATTTCAGTAACTGGAAAGACCCACCCTGAATGGGTGGCTGCTACATCATTGGCAGTAGCCACATCTATTAACAAAAAGCTTCCTGAAAAACATTAATTATGTATCAGATCTAAATCCAGCAGTAAAGAAGCATTTTTAATTCAGCAGTTGTTCCAAGTGAACAGTGCCAGCAAGACAGCTGACATTTTATAGGCCCACAGTGAGCTGACCTTTCAGTAACCTACCTGGATGAGACATGATCGGGCAGCTGGATGGTTATTCTTCTCCACATGGAGCTGTTGACAGAGTTATAGATGGTAGCTTCATGGAATTGAAATGGGGAGCAGCCAATGCTATTAGATGAGGAAGGAAGACAGTGTGTCTGGACAAGCTGCCATGAGTCTGTCCTGTAGGGAACAACAACAAAAAAGGTTTTAGAACAACTGAAAGAATAATGAAAGGGAAACGGGTAATTTCTAAGGGTCATGGCATTGTTTATCTTACTAAACAAAGCCAAAGTATTGTCAGCAATGGTTTCCATGCTCTGTAGCCACAGATAGACAAGAGGTGAGAGGCTGAAGCCCTGGTGCAACCAAGGAGGACTTTTCAGCACCAGGTTTGAGTACTGTGAATCTCTTAGTGGTGGTGCACACAGCAGAGTCCAACCCAGAGCTCCTCTGGGCTAGCATGAGAGAGGGATTTATTTACAAGTCTGCTCCTTACTCTCTTTCTTACAGTGTTCAGAAAAGAGTCCAACAGAATGCATGTTCACCTGCAGTCATCTGAGCACAGAATATACCTTTGCTTTTACAAATTACAATGTGCTACTATACTGCAACACAGGAGACTGTTACTAATTGCTTGTTAAAGACCAAATTGTGATTAAGTAACCTCTACTGCATTACAACTTGATCCTAAACAAACAGCCCTGTATCATTCTAAGATAACATTTTCCAGTGAATGTGGTTTCCTGCAAGCACATTTTTAACAGCAGCATGTTCATGACTGTAACTGCAAGCTCAGTGCCATGAATCTGTCAACATCTGGGACAAATTATAAAGAGAATTTATGGGAGTTATGTAGACAAATCCCAGTGCCTGCAAACAGGCTTTGTTCAGATCCTGTTACAAGATGAGTTTCAAAGTCATTGCTTTAATATTTAAAAGCTTTATAGGTTTTTAATATAATATTATTTTTTTTTAGGTCTATATATTCTGCTGTCATTTACCTGGCATCCTTCGAATACTCCAGCATCACAGAGTGGAGGTCCCCACACGAAGTTGCCTCACAGCCAACCACGATCTATAGCACAAATAAAATTGTCTGCTATAAGAAGTAGGTAGACATTTAATGTGATATATAATGAAGTCTTCCTCTCTATTTTTTTTCTTTATAGGGTATATAAAAGGGATTGCCAGCTTAGATCTTGAACAAAATCCATCAAAAGTGGAAAACAAAATATGTAATCCTTCAGATACTGCTTTTACTTAATGAATTATACTTCATTGCTACTGTTATTTTCAAACAGAATTCTAATACTAAGTTCTTAAAGTTCAAATTAAATATCTAAACAAACATTTTTTCTGAAACACAAAGGTATGGTAGCTCCTTGGCATTTAAGAAAGTGAAGTACCTAACTATGTATTAATTACCTATGAAATTTGTAATTCATAATGATAAAAATGTGGATATAAACTTCAAGTCAATCCAATTTAAGAATATAATTATTCTGAATATTTAAAACAATAAACATATTTGTCTCAGAGTGGAAAGGTTACAGTGCCCAATTTACAGTACTGAATAGATAACAAAAAGCTAAATTTTAAGAGCTTCAAAATCAAATGGCAACCAAGCACTAGAGATGAGTTCTTCATTTAGAAATAAAATCTTTGCTGTGACTGGTGAAGAAAAGAGAGGAGAGAAAAACTTTGCAATAAGAGTTTAGTAAAACAAATTATTAAATGCTGATGAGTTATCATAATTTTGGCCTTAAAACAGAAGAAAAAGATGATAGGCTGGGTAAAATAAGCAGCTTGGAGGGGTCTTGGCATCCAGTAGTTAAAAGAACGTCAGACTCCTCTTTTATATTTTGAAGTTGTCATGCTGTGTGAGTGGGGGAAGCAGTCCTTTAGGGATTATATTTGACAGTCAATATGAAATAGGCAATGATGTTGAGAAAAGGTTAAAATATTGATTAGTTGGAAGATGGAAAATTCTGGAATTGTCTTGTCAAACAGAAGAGCAAGAAATAAAACATAACAAGAAAATTGGTGACTATTTTGATAACCCTGCTTTCATATTAGTTCCTGGTTTATTTAAGACGTGGTGCCTGGGGAAGGGCCTAGAACATTTCTTGACAACAACTATGTTTCCTTTGGCCCTGGGCAGAATTTTACCTTAAAACACAGTAAAATATTCAGAAATGTTTCTCTGATTATTTAGGTCATTTGCCATGACACAAGTAAGTGGAAAGGGTACTTCTACTTGAGCACTTTTGCATTTTCCATATGCCACTCTTCTCCAGCCTGCCTCTACTTTGCCTTTCCTGCGTATTCACGTGTTAGGGGTGAGTGGCATATACTGCATGCTGTGTATTCTTACCTTAGAAAAGAATTCCTACTGTATCTGATGATCTAGTAATTTCAGGAGAAAGGGATTAGACTTTGTATCCCTCTCAGTAATCCCCAAAGCATACAGACAGTCAGAATAATTTGACTTTTCACATTCATGCAACCTTTCTGGTTCTCATTACCTATACTTCAGAATTTCCTTTACATTCTAGTAAAAAGTCATTATTAATTAATCATCCAATTGGGAAGTTGGATGAAGAAGAATTTCTGGAGACACATTACATGATTTTTCATTGCATACTTTACTTTGGAGAGAGAGAGAACATTTCTTACTTTAAATTGCATCATGTATCCTGGCTGTATAATGAGCTCCCTGGAGGACAGGATGTTGTGTGTTTTGTCCTTTTTCTTATTTGGCCAGTAGAGGTGGAATGATGGATTTCCACAGAACCCTGCAGTCCTGACTGCATTTGGGTAAAAACTCCAGTTTTCTTCATGAGAGGTGCCTTCTATTAACATGAGTTAAAGACAATTACTGCATCGCCTCAGTAAACAGCAAGGCTTAGTAACAAATCCACAGAATCACTAGATACAGCACTTTAGTGATATGAACACTAAATTTATGCTATCTATCATGACACACAATAAGCTACTAACAGACAGAATGAAAACATCAGCTTCACAGAGGTAATTAAAATTTTTAAGTAATAGTATTTTTTAAAAATATGACTAAATGAGACTTTCCTGCACAGGAGTTTAAATGAAATGAGTTGGACTGAAATAATTTTTTTTGCCTTTCTTACAGGTATATACATATATATATATACACACACACACATACATACATATCTGAATATACATGTTTACATATATTTACACCTCCCTATTAGAAGCATGAAGAATAGCTTATAAACAACATTAGTCTACAAAATGAAAAATTTGCCACGTTAAAAAAAAGAAAAAATGTGCTTGCAAGTTCACGGGGCTTATCTTAGATAAGATAATGCCAGACAACAGATTAGCTGTCACAGCCCATCTTACCATCATCAAACGTATCGACCAGCTGGCTGGGGTTGATCTCTGCTCCTCCGATCAGGATGTTATCCAGTGCCCACTGTGCTCGGTCAGGGCCTGAAACCACAATCCCGTTGCTGATGGTAAAAGGCTGCCACCAGCGCAAGCGGGTTGTGTTGGTCAGAGCATGTTCAGGGAGGAGGATGTAGTCATGCCTGACTGAGATGTATTTTTGGTAATCCATCTCATGCAGCAAAGTCCAGGATATCCCTAGAATGAAGTGATGCAGGTTTAGTAATAAAAACAAGTGTGTAATAGAATCTTCTGAAAGTCTAAAAGAAGATAATAGGAAATAAAAAATAATAGCTATGGTATTCTGATAAACAGATCTTAACTTCTAAGGGTAGCTGGCAACTGTTACTCATTGCAAGAGCAATCTTACGATTGTACAAAGGAATCCAATTGGCTGGAAGCCACTGATTACTGAAATCAGGCAGGAGGATTATGGAGAACTCCTGAGCAATAAATGAAAAATTTAGGTGGGGAAAAAAATCTTACAAGGGCAAAACTAAGTTTACAATTTAAATTTTTCTTATTATTTTGAATCTCTCTGACAATGCCTCAGATAGTCACAATGCTTGAATACGGAACAAAGCTGTAGCTTAGCTGAAACAACAAGATGTACTTGCCTCCATCAATGGAGTAATCCAGCAGCACTCCCTCCTTTCTGCAAGTTGGTCTGTGGCATGTTGTCATGTTGTTTTCACTCCCAATTCTTCCCCAGTACTGTAGAAATCTAAGAGTAAATGTATAAGTTTACATTTGTTAAAGATCTGCACAAATTGAGATGTTTGCTTTCTGCTAGCAGATGTGGTGAAAATGTTCAGAATGCCAGCATTTTTAAGCAAGAAACATCATTGTAGAAGTAGAACAAAGGTTTCCAAAAACATTGCCTGGTAATTCCCATGAGAACCTCATTAAATTCATCAGTTCTGCCCCTGGGAGGGACTAAACACTTGCAATGGTATGGGCTGGGCCCTGACTGTCCTGGAGCAGCTTGGCTAACAGTTCCCTGGGTTTCCTGGTGGAAAGGAGACTCAATATGAATTAATGAGGTGCCCACACAGCAATGAAGGACATAAAAGAAATTGATACACTGAGGCCAGGTCAATGGAGGCCACTGAAATGGCTGGGGTCAGAGCACGTGCCCTTTGAGGAAAGGCTGAGGAAGCAGGGCTTGTACAGCCTGGAGAAGATGGGTGGGAGTGGGAGGCAGTCATTATACGTTGAAACAAGGATATAATAGGGAAAAAAATCACTATGAGGGTAACTCAATACTGAAACAAGCTGTCCAGAGAGACTGTGGGATCTCTATCTTTGGAGGTTTTTAAGAACCAGAGGGTCAAGGCCCTGAGCAACCTGGTCTGAATTCAGTGCTGACCTGGCTTTGAGCATGAAGTTGGACTAGATACTCCCTAAGGCTCCTTCCTTCCTAAAAAGTTGTGTGATTCAATGAATTCTTGCTGAATTACAGAGGAGCGTATGACTTCATTGTAGCTACATAGCCAAGCAACAATGATGCTGAAATTGTCTTCTATGTGATGTTCTTAGCTTGTCTAAACTGACATAATTCTACTGGTGTCCAGTGAGGCCATCTTTTTCTCCAGCATGTGAGTGCAGTGGGGTCTTGTGTAGGCACCCAAGAGAGGACAACCAGCAGAGGTTATGTTCTGAACTCAGCGGGAGACACGGCTGAAGCCTCCAGAAGTGGAGACAGCAGTGCTCAAGCAACAGCAGCATCTCACCTCTGTGCAGGACTTTGCTGACTTCAGGACATTCCTGGGTAAGGGGACTTGCTGCTTCACTGGAGCATGGCAGACCCCTTTCACTGTGCTAGCTTGAGCATCAGTGCCTTGAGACTCATAATCTAATTAGTGGCCACCTGTGGTGGCCTAGGAATTCCCTGAGCTACAAGCTGTATCGCCTGCTGCATTGTCAGCATTTAACGGAGTTCCCCATTAAAATGACACAGAAACATGACCTACTTTGCCCCCCGCAGGTCCAGATCTTGAGTGACAGCCTGCCTCACAGTTGCACCTCCAAAATAGAGAGTCGTGTCCTCTGCAAGAATCCCACACTCGGTACAGGTATTTCCACCTTCTAAGGACATCCACAAATCTGGTTTAATTTCTTCATTGTCAAAGCGCTCTTTCAGGAAAGTCTGTAAGGTTTTTAACATAAAGCATAGATAATTATGATCTTAAGCCTTTCTGATGATAGCTGGAACTGATATAAATGTGTTTGAAGGGCTCATAAATGCTGTAAATTCTTTTTCAGGGTGCCTGAACATAATCACTTTTGTCTGAACATTTAGCCACTTGAACTGAATTGGCTAAATGTGAAAATATGTTGGGGCTAGATTTTAACATATCTGGGAGGCAATCCACCACACTAGAATTTGCATGTGCAAATGAATGGGTCTAATTAATAAGTGTGGTTATTTAAGACTATGTAACACAACTCCAGTACATCTCTAGTATGTATGGGAGAAATTGCTGTTCTGTATTTTTTCCTCAGCAGCACCAGTACTGCAGGGAAATTTTAGGGTTATTGTAGTGATTATGAATTTATGCAACTGTCTGCACAAACATTTGCAGTGAAAATCATCTAGAATATATCTCTGATTTCCACTTACCTCCAGGTGTGCGATAAAAGCAATGACATGAGTGAAATCCTGGTCTTAAGGAGATAGTAGTAAAACTCCCCTAAAATTGCTAGGATTTTATCCCAAATGTCCTTAATGTGGAGAATACATTACTAATTAAAAATTGCAAATGGATGATGATATTTGTTCATGTAATTAGTATCTCAGATGAAAATAGAAGTTTGTAATAATTCAAATGACATGATAATTGAAAACTTAAATAGTTATATTCTCTTTACACAAAATGCTGCTTAACCTGTTGTTTCTGTGGAGCATATACCTATTCTGTTTTTATCTGATGTAGAAAAAATGAGATGGTAAACACTGCATTTTAAACTAATTTGGGGTTCCTTACATATTCTTTACTAAATATGTTAAGTTTTTTAATTATTTTAACTTACACATTAGCAATATCTGACTAGATTTCACTCACTTATTACAGGATAACACTAATAACAGCTAGGTGAATTAATTTTATGTCATTTTATGACATTTTCTTGTATTCCCTACTTCAGTAAGCTCTCTCATGATAAAGACAATCTTTCTTCAGGTCTTCATCAAATATAATTACATATACAAGGTTGATTTAGATCATATAATGATGATCTAAGGATGAACAGTGAACTTTATCACAGCTTTATCAAGCAGTGTTATTTGCAAAGGAACAAACCTGTTCTTGGATACTGCAGTAATAGTTTTGTTAAAGATTGATAAAAGGGCTGAAAATGGATTGTAGTATCTTAAAGCTGACAGGAATCAAAGCTAAATTTCCAGTGGGCTCTATCTCCTTGTCTCTCTTTCTCTTTCTAAGCCAAAGACATGGCACAATTCACACTTTAAAACCTGCAACAAAATTACCTTCAGTGTTTGGGTGAGATAGCAGTTTGGTCCCGAGTACCCAGGGTCACAGATGCATTGCTCATTCAGGCAGTCTCCATGGCCTCTACAGTTTTCCAGACAACCAGGGCCCAGATAGAAATTATCGATGGCCCACTGCACATCTGAGTATTTCTGGTAGAACCGAAACCTCACAGGACTAGACATGAAGGAATGAAGAAAAACAGACATATGTATAAACCAAGTTTGCTAAATTGAAAAAAGGTGGGTGAAACACAGTATAGTTATGACTGTACTACCCTCCAAGCTTCCAGAAGCAATATCTGGCAGTGTCTGTAGAAACAGATTTTATACATATCCATATTTGCTTCATCATGCATGTACTACCTACAGTATATGGGCAGATTCCAGATGCTGCTGAAGCTGGAAAAAGCTATTCTGGCTTATTACAAGACAGTTTCAAGTTTGGTTTTACTTCCTGAGTGGATTACTCGAAGAATAGAAGATACTTTTAATTTTGCAGAAAGAGCAAATGGTTTGCATATGTGCAGATGACTGCAGACAAGCAGGGTAACTTTTCCACTCAGTAAGGTCATAAATCTACTCTCTAATTGGCTGTGGCTGTCTGAAGAGAGCAGAATATGCTGTACTGGAGCAGGGTGTACAGAAGCAAGGATAACTTTGCTGGTTGTTCAGACCAAAAGCCATGGTCAATATTGATTGATAGGAAATAAGATTATGCAGCATACGTAATGAACATGAACGTTGCTTGTCTGCACTTTCCTTGACAGAAAGTGAATAGGCAGAGGAATCCCCTGTTGTGTTTTTCAGAAGGTACTGAATCCAAGAAAAAATTAGTAGCTAATTTATACTTACTTGCCCACAAGGTTTTCAGGGAGTGAGTAAGTTACTCTTTTCCATCCTTTTGTGGGAAAGAAGACTGATGGCTGTGAAACACTCCCAGAACATTTTGGATCAGCTGGTAAACACTGAGGTACTAAATAACTCCAGCTAACGCCAAAGTCCGTGGAATACTGCACATGGACCTGATTTTGTGCAAGTTTTTCTGAAGTTTTACATCCAACAGAAACCTAATAAAGAAGAGAGCATAAGTAAATTAGAATTAACTGTGGTGGTTTTGTAGAGTTTAAAAAATGTTTGAACCTGAAAACTGACTGCAGAATTTTGCTTGAAATGATGGCAGTAGCAGTGCCGGTCATCTGCAGATCTTATCAATATTCCCAAGATGGAGAACAGGCACCATACTCAGAGCTTCCTTTTCTTCTACTTAGCTCACATTTCTGGATTTCCAGGTTTTGACACTTGTGTCTTATACCCCAGTACGCCATAACTAATAAAGCTAATCTACCCTCCCACACAACCTAAGATTTGAATATTTCAGAGAAGGCCACCCAGCTGAGTTATGTCAGGCAGACCTTCTTCAGGGAAGAGATGTGCAAAGGGCTCTTACAACAATATTAAGCCTAACAACAATATATTGCTGGATTATTTCTTCAATTTAGGTAAAGGATTGTATGAAGGGGAGTTTGGGTGCAGGTTTGGTGTGAATGCATGAAAACGTAGGAGCAGTGTGGATGCTTTTGAGCTGCTTTTCCCTCACCAAGCAGCTGTAACAAAATAGCCACTTTGTATATGTGTAATATCCTTATTACATGATGTCCATACAACTGCTATGGTGGAAGAGTGCATCACCTCTGAGAACAGCCCATGGTGTTCAAGCTGACCAGCATGGAGTAGGTGAGAAAAATGAGGATGGCGTTTTCCCCTGCAGTGAATGGCTCATGCGTAGGCCTATACATCATCCTATCTCCTGAAAAATCTACTTAGACTTGAAGTGAAATAGGGTTTTCAATAATTATATTGCAGTCAGAGGTTTTACCTTGAACTGCATAATCCAACCTTCTGTAGGAGTCAGGTCGTGGGTGACTGCGTAGACCTCTCTGCCGTCATGGCTTCCGCAGATCATGACACCATCAGGAGAATCACAAAACCTCTCAATTGAGCAATCGTCATGGAATAACCAGTGTTCATTCACTTGAAAATAAATGGGAATGTCAGTAATAGACAATGACAACATAAATTAAAGAAAACAGGGAGTAGTGTTAACCACTAAAGGTAATTCATGGCTTTATTTTTCAGCCCACAGGAGGATTATTTAGTATTGTTCCTGTGAAAGTCAGTACCCTGTCTTTCTCTGTATGTATTTATTACATTTGTCACATTTATTGCTCAAAACACCTTTAACTACTCTCTTACATAAGCATTATAGTACTATTTTTTAATGTTCGAGAAGTAAGGATCTGAGACTTACTCAGAACACAAATTTCTGTTGCACTGGATGTTATGGGACAACGTTTTAAAGGATGTTTCCCACATGTCTGCACAAAGGGTACCCCAGCACTGTTAGCTGTTAAGCCTTGCTAAGATCCAGAAATACATCTTCTACAAAATTTAGTTGTAAAATGTAACTTAATGTCCTTAAACAATGTTTTAAAAAGCTAAGAAATAGGAACCAAATACTCATTTTAAGAAATCTACTTAGAATAATCTGGCATTTTCCCCAGAATTTATCTTTTTATTTGAAGAGAAATTAATCTTCTAAGTAAATTCACGCAGTAATAAAAGAAAAGTTACATTATATGTTTTCATTTTGCATTTTGTGAACTGAAACCAAAAGACCCCTATAGCAATGAGGCTGTCTGTGACATCCATCACAGTGAGACAAAGATTCGGGGGCTCAGCAAGATTTGGAAATCATTGCACACTGACTTCTTGCTCTTCAATTCAGATCCATGTAAAACCTTTACCTGTAGTTTTATCCTCCATGAACATGTCAAAGGCGATCCTCCCGGTGGGCCCTGCGTCGGCAGGGGAGCGCTCATGCTGCGGCAGGGGAGCGCTGCTGAAGGTGTCGAGCATCACTGTCCTCTGGTCAGCTGAGCCAGAGATCAGCACGTTGTCAATAGCCCAGTCGTTCTGGTCCAGCCCATCGTGCTTAGGCTGCCACCAACGGAAGCGTGTCCCAATGGTTTTGGCATTGTAGGGAAGGAGGATGTTCACAAAGCTGAAATACGAAGTGGAAATTAGTTGTAGGAAAGCCATAGGAGAAGGATACTTCTCAATGCTCTTTTGACCAAGTCTACTCCTGTTGTTTTCTGGAGTATGTTGAATTTGGGAAAGCAGGAAAAGGCTGGGTAATCTAGCCTAGCTTCCCCTACAGGAGACTGCCAAAACAAAAACCTTCCTGGTCAGTCCTGATATAATTCCTGGGACAGGGGCTAAGAGTGACGTGGGGAGGGCCAGCAGTCAGACTGTGGCATGGTTTGAGCAACCTCATGTGCCAGCTGTGCTTACGGGACCAACTGCAATGGTCTAGATGAGCAGGGTGTGACCATAATGTCCTAATTAAGGGAAGTGTTAAGAAGGGCAATGTTGAAGTAAAATGAAGATTACTATATTCAACCTGAGGCCATTCAGCAGATAGCAATGTTCCAGTACAATTTTCTTATTTTTATTACAGTAGATGACTTAAATCTATTGTACAATTAAAGTGTTGGTGTTTTATTGATGTGGTCAAATGAAATAACAAAGAATGGGTTCACCCCAGCTCCATTTTCTACAAGTCTTATATTAATCAGTGAGAAAAAGGTCCACCCATATCTATGCATGGTTTGAATCTCACAGATGTCTGAAGATAGCACTTGAGTGTATCCATCCTTTTGATGGATCTGCAGAAATTCAGTTTCTCTACACACTACTTTTTTAACTAGCTCAAGCAGTGACTTTCTCCTCTTGTCTGTAAGAAATGAAAGTATCTTAAAGAACAAGATGGACATCATTACAGTAGCTATTAATTTATCTTCCTGCAACCATTTACAAATCTACCAGACTGTAACAGACTCCTTATTACTGCTGTATTTCTGCCTTAGCAGCTGCACAAATGTTGGTGCTCAATCACATATGCTAAAGCCATTTATAAGTGCTTGCAAGAATGGACAGGCTGAACTCTTAATGATCTGACATCCAAATGACAGCAGTAAGGTATCTGACAGGTTCTTATGAAACATTCAAGATCACCTGACTTCAGAACAGGAAATTATATAGGCAGAAGAATGTATCTACAAACCCAGGCTTGCTGAACTGATCATAGAAGATTTCCATTAAGAGGCTCCAGGTGATTCCACCATTCACAGAATACTCCAGCAGCACTCCTTGGTTGCGGTTATTAGGAGTTATCAGACATCCATACATGAAATAAAACTGGATGAATTCTGCACTGGTGAGGTTCAAGTCCACTGTAACTAACATACGACTGCAGCCCTTAAAAGCAATGAAAAAATATGTTGGCTGGCAAAACTTATGGACATAAAAAGTGTTAGATTATACAGTCACTTTTAATATAACTTCATGTAGTAACACCTTCAAAATTGTTCAAAATTATACTAACTATAACAAAGGTAAAGCTACGACAGAGCAATAAATGATCTTCCCTAAGGATATATTTTCAGTTATGTGCCATCTTAAAAATTCCTGTTGTGTATTCATACATGTTGCTACTTGTACCTACAGCTTTGCAATATTCAGTATCAAAAATTGTAACACAAGAGTTCTTCTGAACACAAGAGTTACAAACATCCACGCCTCCAGTGTAAAACACAAAGTTTTCCAGGCAGAATTAATGAATGCTGATTATGTGCTAATGGTTCAATTTATGCAAATGATCAAATGGCACAGCAATTTTAATATGTATGTTTTCCCATAATCCCTTATATACTTCACACACCTTGCTTAGTCTATTTGCATTTATACAAATTTGCATGGAAGAGATCTACAAATGTAGGTTTTACGTGTTTCTAAATGGTATTCGGTCATTTTTATAATCCTGAGTTTATCTGCAAGCAGGCTGTAATTCAGCAGCAGCAGCCTGGGTTATATACCTCTGTATGTAGCTAAAGCACAGGAAATTTTACTCTGAGCTTACTTTGAAAAAACCCAACAATGAAATATCTGAAGGACAAGACTACACACAGATGTAGTTTCAAGGACCAAGTGCAAGTTATACACATGCAAATCCTTAGTTATTAATTTACCCCTGTGGTCTGATTAGAAGCTGCACCAAACTACCATCTCTGTAAGTTCTAAGTGCTATGAGAAGGCTATTATGGGTGAGTGGAAATGAATGTCTACATACTTGGCCTGTGCATTGATCTATCAGCTCTACCTCCAAAGGCCTCTCCATGGCTCTTTTCAGAAGGGACACATGCTGTATCTCATTTTCCTGGCAGCAGCACAGCCAGGAATGTGGTATCTGCTTTCCTGGAGTATTTCTGGCTGGTCCTTCTCTATGGGGTGTGTCTGACTTTATCCTTCAGCTTTTTTTGGTATGTTTTTAATATGTTCTATGTTTAATATATTATGCTGTTATTTCTTAACACCTTGCTATTTATGTAACTTTTAAAAATCAGTTCTGTTTATACTGTCAAAGGGAATGAGTTGGCTCCCATGCTGAAGACGCACCCCGCTGAAGTGAAGTGCCATCCCAGAGGCTACTGCCCCGCAGACCGTGCTCAGTTTGCCCCCATTCACTGTCAGCCAGTTCTGGTTCGACGGCGAGCGGTTGAAGTTGTCTTTCAGTTGTGTCAGAAGAGGGGTCTCTGGCTCATCACAGTAAAGCCCACCCCAGTGCTCATCGCAGCTGCAGAGGAAAACAATTACAAAATTCAGCTGGCAAAGGCTCTGCACAGAGGTTTAATCTGTGCCATGTTATTCCACATTAAGGTGCCATCTTATTCTGCATAGAGGCTGTCTGCATCATTTACTAGTGCACTACTGGTATATGGGGGTTTCAGACATCTGCCACTTTCTGTAGTTGTTAACAAGGCTAGTATTATGTGACATTCAAGCTGCTACTTCAGAGGACACTGCAGCACAGAGTAAAATCAGTAAAATACATTGTACTTGGATAGATAAACCTCAAAGAATGTGCCAAGCCTAAGAATGTTCTGCTAATATTAAATTATAAGTAAGTTTTTGTAATATTTTAGTGGATGGGTACTTTCCTGTTGTTTCTTTAGAGAGCCCCCCTCTTTTTTTTTCTCCTCTGAAAAACCTTCTTATAATGTGTCAAGGATTGGATAACAGCATGGAAATGTGTTCTGTTACTATGCAGATTTCACCAGGGAGATCATGCTTTGGTACTTCAGTGCTGTCGGGACAGAGGACAACACAACAATATCTCTATTCTGCAGTGGAATAGATTTCTAACAGACACAGCCACAGCACAATTATACAACCATTCTACCATTTCTGTTGCCATTTGTGGATGGAAAAAAGTAATGCATCCATCTGGAAGGTATTTCTCTGTTGCCAGACAGACAACTCTGGGGAGATCTGGTTGTTTGTTAGCTGTGCAGGGCTCTGCATGGGCTGTTACAGAGACAGCTTGAGGATCCAGCCAGCCTGCCCCCACCAGCGAAGCCTACCATGGAGCAGAGGCATCAGGCCATCAAGCCAACACCAATCGAAAGGCAAAATCTGGCCTTGTGAAGAACTGGTGTATATCCCTTCTGCTTAGAGGATGCATCCCACCTCCAGCCCAGGTTCTCTGCATCCAGCACCATGATGGGGTCATGGCGTGAAATCTCTTGGGAATGAAGGATGACATCTGGGAAGCTGCAGGACTGTATGTCACTAGAGGGATGTACAAACCCAAGGGGTCCCTCCTCCCTATGTAGTGGGAGGGGAGCCAAGCTGCAGCATAGGCAACAGCAGAGGCGATGCATCGTTGCTGAGAAAGGACCAGCAGCATTGACATGTGAACAAGCAGAGGTTTGGGAGAGCCAACCCTGCACTCACCCTTCCTGTTGTTATTTTCATTCCCAAGTGGTACCAGTGCCCTGCTCAGTTTTAACAGCAAATTCCACCTTACTTTTAAAAATGGTATCAAAGTCTTTCCTGCAAGTTGGTTAAAATGCCAGGAGGAGTGGAATGCTGCCGAGCTGGGTGGGACAGGGACAAGCTGCACTTACACACAGTTGTCTTGTGTGCACTTCCCGTGGCCACTGCACATGTCTATGCAGCCATCCCCAATGTAGACATTATCGATCGCCCATGTTTGCTGCTTATCAAAAGGAGCAGGCTGGTGCCAGCGGAAGCGAGTGGCTTGAGACCTTAGGGAGAGAAAGAAAAGAGAACAGTAATATTTCTAGCTAAGCTAATCTTAATTTTAACTGAAATGAAACATCAATCTTGAGGCTAGACTGCTCCTCTGGAAGATTTGTTTGATATCAGCACAACCCAGGGCTGGTCCCTGACAACAACAAAGTCAATGAAAGGCCAAGAACAGGGTGCACTTGTTTTGAGAGCAAGACAAAGCATGGGTGTTCAGTAGCATGCTGGGAGTGCAGGAGGTGGGAAAAGAGATCACTGGTGAGAGCAAAGCAAGTGGGCTGTGGTTGGTGCAGTGGAGAAGAGGGTAGGAAGAAGGTGGTATGTCCAAAGGGAAATTCAGACCAGTCATAACGACATCTCAGCACAAATCCAAACTTGAGGTATAGCAAGGAGCTGGATCAAGCCAGAATCACCCAAATCCTCCCAGTTTAACCATGAACCTGAGTTTTGTCGCATCAGTCCATGTCAAAAAACTAAACTGACTTTTCCTCTGTGAATCTTCCCAACTGTACTGATGTAGCACAGCTTTAGAGAGTGGATTGGGTCCTAGAAGAGATGCTGCCATTTATAAATCTACATGGGACAGGTAAAAGCGCCTACATAGAGATTGCGATGTGACCCTGATTTTGCAGGGGTCACATTTAAGAAATGACCTATGGTGTGATCCTGCCTCCTTTCAGTAAATAATTTTCATTTTGTTGATTAGAGGGGGTTTAGCTCCCCATTCAGACACCTTGCTTTGATGTAGCTTTATGTGAATTAAGTGTTTCAGCTCCCAAGATAGATGATGAAAACCTAGCCAAAACAGTCAGGGGACACCAAATAGATATTCAGCTCATGCAGCAGTAGACACCTATATTTGAATAGCTGTGAGTAGCTGAATTTTCTGTAACTTTTCAAGAATACCATTGTAAATGCAAGCTAGTCCATGTTTTGATGTACAGCACTAGATGGCAGCATTGAACTTTATGTAGTCTGTTGTCTTTTGAAACTCAAAGAGAAATCACAATTATTGTAAACCCCCCAGAAAACAAACAGCAAAATCCCCCAGATTTATTCAGTATAAAAATAGATCTTTTATGATAAGGCCAATGTTATCCTATGAATTACTTCTTTATAAGCATGTTATATGAAGGGAATAGATAACAAGTTTATCCAAAAAGAAATTACTGTCTAGCTACTCACCAAATAGCATTTTAAAAGAATTACATAAATTGTGAGGAAGTCCTTGAGGAATAAAGACAAACACCTATATCTCACACTGCCTGCTTTAGATTTGGTGCTTCACTAACAATTTATGGAGCTGATGCTTCTGGGAGAAGCTTTGTAATTGCATTTGCATTTTCAAATCAGCTCTGAGTCTAAGATATAACTAAGTGTTCACTCCAAGGTACACGAACACTAAAACACTACTAAAACATCCATAAAAAATATGGGTGCTGTGCACCAGGCCAAGCTATTGACTATGTAGCCTGCATGTCCCTAAAACTTAAGCACAAACAATTGGAGACACGCACCTGCTACTACACAGCTTGAAATAATAAAGCAGCATAAACATTATATCACATATAGACTACAAGGCCTATTAGCTGCACTTATGCTGAAGCTCACTTCTCCCTTGCTCATGAGCCAAGGTTGAAATAATCTCTCTCCCACAATCCCTATCTTAATAACTTTGGGAAATGGTATTATGTGAGCCAACAAACATAGTTATTGGATTGGACAGAAGAGCAATCTTTGCCTCAGTAGGGCATCAGACTTCTTTTGACATACACAGCTCAAAAAACTTTTCAGTCTTAAAGTCACAGTTACTTATAAACTTGAGTTTATCTCCAGGGATAGTTTCCTTTCAGATCCAAATTCAACTGGTTTGGAACACAGACCCAATCCCGATTTATCCTATTCAGCCCCCTCCTGAACACAAATTTGCAGACTTTATACAAAGAACTGTTGGATTTTGCAGACAATACATAGTGAAGCAGTACAAAAGAGTAAGCAGAGGAGATCAATGCTGGGAAAGA